ATATATGTATTTAAATATTTAATCAAAGGAAGGCTATTTATGGAGTCATAGCTCTACATGATCTATTGAAGTATACATGTGGACTTACCAGAATACAGTATTTCATGAAAAGAGCTAGAAGAATAGTTAGGAAGGCCAAGGTCTCACTCGGACTGATAAAACCGAGGGCCTTTTATAAGGGGAGACAACAACAACAACAAAATCAACATGCAAGTGTTTGCACAAGAAGTTATGTACAGATAACATTAGAAATCTGTTAGGTACACATTGCATAAATCACTAAAAGGTAAGAAAAAAAGCGGGCTTAGTAGATAATATGCAATTTAAAAGCAATAATGATCAAAATGCTCAAAAAATGTGTTAAGCAGCTTGGAAATCTATTACAATATAACTTTGTCATGAACTTTAAAGTACATGAAATATAAAAAACCCATACAAAAAGTTTTGGCTAAACAAAAGCAGATTCATATCAGAATAAGCAGATTTTCCATTAAAATAATCATACATACATATTTCAGTGAGAATGATTATTGTCTTCTACAAAAGAAAAACTGCCTTGCTGGAAGCTGAGCACGGTGTAGTAGCCTAGTTGGCTTTAACCAGAAGGTCAAATATTTCATTTTTCAAGTGAAGGATCTTAAAAAATATTGAGGATCATTCACTGAGTAAAGTAAATGATTCAAAAAAAATAAATGAAGTCAACCAGTGGAGCATAAAAATATACACAGAAAGTGTCTTGGGTTTCAGACAGTATATAAGAATTTCTCGTAACTCTACAGAGAAAAAGTCTTCTTCCGAAGTACTTACAATATGTGGAAGAACAATATACATATGGTCACCGAGGTGAAAGAGGACTATACGATCCATGAATCAGTGGTCAACATGTGAAGTCTTATCACAGAAATATTGTAAACATTTCTCTTAAGAGGATCTCAGTCATCTTTGGTGTAACAGACTCCTAGGGAATCTCTGATGACACATTTATATCCAACTTAAATAACAGGGACAAGAAATGGTTTAAACATTTTGCATTTAAAGTACGCATCACTTAAAAATGCAGTATATGTGTATATACAAGTCACAGTTTAGAATGGATCTTTTCTTTTATTAAAATGCTCCTGGCCTATAAATACTAAATCTTAAATGTTCTGGCCAAAGATCCACTTCTGGAAGGGGTCTGATGGATTACAGGACGCCAAACTCGGATGCTCTCCATTTCCTGTAAGGCACATATGTAGTGCTGCATTGTACAGAGTTTGATCCTAAAGTGAGTAAAAAAGGAAGGGAAAAAAAAGAAAGTGAACAAACAATGCACATACTATTTCCCCCCACTCCTCCTTTTCCCAAGCTCATTGCTGTTAAAGAGTAAAGCCATACAGACAGAGCAGAAGGGGGCTAGCACACAAATATGAGTAGTGTGCAAGTGCCAACTTGGTTTGGGAGGAAAATTTTTTTAGAATATTTTAAAAGATACAGAACATTTGGATTGACTTCCAGGTGGATGCCCAGGCACACACACTAAAGGATATCAACTGTTTTTTTAAGTGACATTTCTACTTTACATTTAAAATAGTGAAATCGTCAAGTTTTGATCTGGTAACTGAAAAGCTGAAATTACCTACATTTTCCTCCCATAAATAACCTTACTCCTTTTTGGCTTCAGAGCTTTGTTTTGTTGGGGTTTCTCTTTTACTGGAAATCGAAAATTAACTCATACAAAAGATCAGTGATAAAAATGCCAATTCACTGCACAGTCTAAGTACCTTTTGATGCAGCCACTGCTCTTCTCCAGCGGCAAAGGTTTTCTGGCCTTTGTAGTTACATTCACGAAGCTGCACAGGTCCTTTAGCAGCATGCAGACAAAGCTCCTTCTGAATGTTATGTCGAATTTCATGGTGTGCAGAATATTCAAAGTACTATTTAAATAATTTTTTAAAATTTCAGTAAATAAACACAAACAAGAGTGTTGAACTAAATTAACCCTTTGAAATTCGAATATACAATGTAGTAGATTTGTTATTCAACAACTTGAGATTACAAAATCTTTTCTCTGATTTTTAGCATACACGCTTTGAAAGTGTTTACAAAACTAAAAGAATTTTTTAATACAATGCAATGGAATATATTTAGAAGTACTTAAATGTATAAATTGCAAATGACACTTGGTGCATACACATTATGATGCAAAATCTCATTGCTACCTCCCCCAGGAATCATATACAATCCCAGGAGACAAACTGAAGAGAGGAGATAGTTGCATGGATAACTTACATTTTGGCATTTCTTAACTTTAAAAATCTTTATGCAATTTTTGTTGCTGGATTTTGTTTTTTCTTAGAGCAACCAAAAACTAATTTGTCACATGGAACAAAACTGAATGCTTCACATCAATTTTTGCTGCTTGATCTAAACAATAAATGCTAACAATAGGATGCTGTTATGTTCGCTTGGGAGCGAGCCATTATAAAAGTAACATAGGTATGTATTTTGTGAGTGAATTTTACCATTATTTCCTGACAGGAGAGTACATTTGAGGCTCAGGAAGCCCAGGCTATAATTCTAGTCTTACCAGGGATTTAATCCCAGCAGTTAGAGACACAGCTGTCCTTTTATACCTCCAGTCCTACCCAACCATCCTCGTCTCTTCCTTTTCTTCCTCATTTAAACAGCAGAGCTCCTATCATTATATCCCACTACAACTGTTTATCGGCTCTCTCTGTCAGCCTTCACCACCGCATCTTTCCTTTGACTATTAAGAGCAGGCCCAGGTAGCTCCCTGGGGCTTTCAACTATCTGTCCAATTGGTCAGCTCCTGCCTCCTCACTGCCTTGGCATCAATGGGAATAGCACTGAGGAACAAACAGGCATCTCGCTCTTGAGTCTCTTGAGTGCCCAACATTGTTCCCCGAACAGGTACTGACAGGAGTGATCTGCTTAGTCATTCAGCTCTCAGACATAGTAATTTACTCTAAATCTGTTAATCTGACTTAACCTGTTCTAATTTATCTTTTGAACTCCAAAATCTCTGCAAGCCCTGAAAATATGACTTGAAAGCTAGGTTTAAAACTTCATCTGTTTTGGATATTGAGATGCTGTTGAGATGGACGTGTTCCCAGCCCCAGAATATTCTAAGAAGGAAAAATGATAATCAATTGATGTACAATTCTGAAAATTAGGTTCTGCCTTCCACTCCCTTCTCCCATCTCAAACAGATAGACAAAGACAACAGGTAGCATTGAACATTTCAGCCTACACTGCCAAAGTCTGGTAAAGAACATAAACCAACTGAAAACAGAGTATTGTAATGAGAAGGGTTAAGTAAGCAAATACGCACATCTCTCGAGCATTACCAGCAAAACGTGTATTAAAGCTCTCTAAAGGTTGGCATTTAAAGGGATTCAGACTGTCACTGTAATGTTAGGAGGAAAAACAAAAAACACAACGCTTGGAAGCGTAGAGGTTTAGTGCAGTCCAAGGTAACTTAGAGAGAGAGATGACAATAGCAGCATACAGCAGATCTCTTAATACAATGTCTTGGTACAGTGTTCCTGTGTTAATGACTGTGAAAATGTGAAAAGGTGAATATAGTATTAATCCACAAAAGAATAAAATAATAAAAAAAAGTTCAATACCGTGAGAAGCTCACATAACAGGGTAGTTGTTAATCTAGACAGTATTTCATATCCTGCAAAAACTGATTAGGAAAGCATCAGCTAACTAGGTTCATGTGTCTGCGTTTTCACAGTGCCATCAATGGATGGTTTTTAAGACTGAAGATTTTATTAAAAAAAAAGAGAAATTACAACTATATTCTAATAAAAACTTTTAAACTTTTGTTGATCTTTAGTTACTAACGATCTACAGTTAATAAATTTTATTCACCAAATAACTCTTTAGGGCAACAGAGAAGTGGCTATTTCTGGGCAGGGAAGGAGATGTAGCTTTTATTGGTATTACAGTAGTGCCTGAAGGATTCAGTATCTGACATCTATTGCAAGTCATACTGTAGAAGAAAGAGCACCATCACTGCCTCCAAGAGCTATGCATCAAAGCGAGCTCTTGGACAAATTCAATCATATTATTCACTTGCATGAGCCAATACAGGACAGACCACTTTGACCTCACACTATGAGGCTGCAAGCATGACAGGGAAGGTGGCTGAGGCCTGGCCACTTGGTCTCCCACTGGCCGGATTCCCACCGACATCTTCCTTGACACTGCGAGTCCTGGTGGCAGAGAAAGAAGCAACAGGAGGAAGCATAAGGAAAGGAGGAATTAAGAAGACAACATTTACAAAAAAAGTAGTAAGGGTAAGATGAAAAAGTTTTGCACAGAAAGGAGAAATCAAGTGAAGCAGTGCAATTGTGTTAAAAACCTGAATCTGTATGCTGAACACAAATTGTTAGAAGCAGGATACAACATGACGAGCAGTATGAAATTTTCCTTTAACAATACGTATAGGAATTGACTCTTAAAGAAACACGGGGAAAAAAGAGAGAGAGAGAAATTGCATACTAAAAAATCAGTCAATTACTATAAAATAAATAAAAAGCTTTAATATGGTAAAGTTACAGCTGAATAGATCATAAAAATCAGGTATCAAATATCTTACCTGATTTCCTCCAAGTCCATGACAAGAATACATAATCAATGGTTTGCCACCATGGTTACTTTCACCAACATCCAGACACATGTGGTTGCCTGTATTTTTTAACTAAAGAAAGAGCGTTATCAGAAAAAAAAAAAAAAAGAAAAAAGAAAAAAAGAGAGAATCTTAGTGGGGATGACAAAAAATTAAACCATCTCACTTGTATACAAAACTAACCTCTGGCTTAACAACAATTACAGCTGTTACTTCATTTTTACTTTCTGCTACACTCAAATATAAAAACCCTAGTCTCTCAGTTAGTCCTTTCTAACCAAAAGCCTACTAACTATGTTATGGTTGTCTGCAGCCACACGCTGTGAATTATTAGGCTACTGGTGTACAAGGTTACTGGTATCGAAATTGCAATTTGAACAGATACACATAAAATGATCAAAACCGAAGGAATGGGAAATTTTATTTGTAAATACAGGGTAAACATTCACATTCACCTCAAACTAAGATTTATTAGAAACTTAATATTTTTTTGGTCTTAGCAACACAATGTCTAAGAAGTTATTTGGCAGAAGAAATGCAATGGTCTTTATAAAAATAAAATACGTGTAACTATAAACACATATTTTCCTCGTCATAAACCTAGTTCTGGGAAGCGAACGGCTGTCCAGTTTTACTTATTAATGTGAACTAAAAATTCTCTCAGACTTCTTACTATATAAAGCTAAATTTACCTTGATAATTCAAGAAATGTCTCACTACTGGCTTAGTACTTCGGTGTCATTTTAACTGTTAGTGATAGGCAGAGTGTTGCTTATCTTAGCAGTTTGTAAGATCCTGTTAAGCAAGGCTACTGTTAGTTATTAAGAAGCTTTTCTTAAATTTCCTATCACCATTGGCAAAGCTGTAAGATATTCAAACAGCAAGGTGTGCAGAAGATATTCTTTGTCCAGAGTAGTGACAGAAAACCCTAGAGCAGTTAAGGACAGCTAAAATGTAAATGCTATGGTTAAGGTAGCATAAAAGGTTAGCAAGCTTCCTGGATTATGGAAGACTATAAAAAATAATTAACATCAAACTTACATAGCCAGAAAACAAAGGATTCAGGTCCGGCACATATGCTTCTGGATAAACATTACTGAGATACCAGGTAAAATTTTTACACTGCAGACGCTGCCTTAAATCAAGTCTTTTTGAGATGTCTCCGAAAGTTTTCTGTTAGAGGAAGGGAAGTAAGGCAGGATGGAAGAGAAATATACTAACGTTACTAATATCAATTTTCTACATACAAACCTATGATATTCTGTATTGTAGCGTTAAAGAAGTTTTAAGCTTCATTTATTGATTATTTTTTTTAAATACTGTACTACTCTGGTTACTGCTGTTTGTTTTCAGTATCATAACACCACTGACATCCTGCCTGCAGCATTTCAAAGAACATGCAAGAAAAATACATCACAACTTCGAAACGACAGAAAAATCCTTAGTCCCAAGACAGCTTTAACACAGTGCCATGAAGTGGGAAAGTACAAGCAAGACCATACTGATGACAGCTATAAAGCTAACTGATCTCACTAAAAAGTGTGAGCTGAAATGAGGAATTTTAATTAATTTAATTTATTTAATTAAATCATTAGCATAACAGTCAGTACAATGCAGAATGTCCCAGACAAAATTCAGTTGTCTAACTGCTAAACATACTTAGGAAATCTAGTGCTATTAGTGATACAATAGTCACAAAAATCTATCATACAAAGGGAGAAAAAACCAGCTTCTTGAAGAAAACTCTGGATTCCAGCTGGTGAAAGACCGAAGTTCCAGAACACTTCCAAAATAAACAAACCAACACCCAAACCCCCTGAATTTAACTTAAGTTTTTAAGCAGATAGAGACAGGATGGGTATCTCATTGAGTAAGCTTTATTCTGCAGCTAAAGACAACAAAAACTGCTTTTTAAGTAAAAATACGAAGCAACTTGAGACTATCATGAAACATTATGTTTCTCACTCCGAAAAATACATTAGTTTGCATTTCTATGCTCAGTAGCTTTTCTCATGCTGCTCTGGTAGTTCCAGTAGCTGCTCAATGCAAACAACCCAGGATTTTAGAGAATGTATGAAAAAAACCTTACCAATCAAAAAGCCCCACCACACAAAACACCACTATCACCACCCGAACATCTGAGTTTTTTCATGTTTGTTAGGGCTACAGTGTTAAGCAAACTCTGTCTTTTCATTAAAGTATCTAGAATCCTTACATACTTGGTCAATAAATAACTTTTGCTCACCAAAACTTTCAACGCAGCAAGTGTGATTTCTAATACCACCACCACCACCTACTTGTTTCACAATTTTTGCTGCCTCTGTGTTTCTTCGGTAAAATATTTCTTTATATTCATCCATCCAGACTTCTGCAAGGCGGACTTGATTACGTGTGATCACTTGAGTACCTTTTGGGAAAGTATGGGGACTCTTGCTGCGAAAGACATGGCCAACAACAGAGCAAGGCATGATCTCCAACTGTCCACCACATTGCCATACCTAATAATAACATTTTTTTGCGTTATTTATTATATAAGGGTTATTTATTATATATATTATAAAATTACATAAGTGCACTGCAATTAGAACTAAGGGAGTGGAAAAAAATTCAGCAATGTTATCGTTCACCAGAAAAAACCCTAAACCACTATCAAAAGCGCACGTATCAGGCATACCTTAAGTGAATTTCCTAATCAGGTAAACCCTGGAAATGTACACTTCAACTATCAACCCTAAACACTCTTAAAAAAAAAAAAAAAAAGTTCAGTGATCATGTTTGCATTTTATTTCCTAGGTCACTAGTAAGTCATTTTCCACGTCCTAGCTGGCTGACTCAGCAGAGAAGTCAAGATCTAGATCACTAACTTGTCCTCAAAAATCCTGTACCCTGTCAGTACAGAGACCACTGCTAATTAAGTAGCTAAACTTACTCTGAAAGACATTTCTATATTTTCACCTCCCCATATTTCCATTTCTTCATCATAGCTTCCAATGTGTTCAAAGTAGTCTTTTGATATTGAAAAGAGACCTCCAGCAAAAGTAGGTGTTCTGCAAAAAGAGAAATTTACTGAGGAAGACAGGATTCAAATAGGTAGGGATTTTTAAAATATAGGTGTAAAATCATGGTATAACTGTTCTAGGAAGTCTCCATGCATGTGCCGGTGTTTCACTACATTGACACATTCTCCTAGCATAGACAATACTTCAGGCAATTAAATCTGCCCACATCGAGTCTCATTTGACAGTTTTATTGTCCGTTTATTGACAACTGGTTTAGACTAATGACTGCTGATATAAAAGACAGCATCAGGAAAAATAACACATTTTCCCTGTATGGAGGATATCAAGCAAAGCTATTACTCCTCCAGAACAGTAGCCTGTCTACGGCCAAAGCACACAAAACCATCATCAAAGGCACCACTGTAACACTGGTATTTTGGTGCTCTGAACCTTTGCTGTCATCCTTTCAAGGATGATGAATGAGGAGCCAGAATCCATGGTACTGTCACTGAAAAGAACTTTTTATAATCCTTCTCTCCCCCCTTCCTCCTGATGAAAAAATATAAAGAAATTGCTGATTATGTTCCTAGTGTATGTAGAAAAAAAGGTAATGCAGAGCAATTACTGTCTTAAGGAGGCTACATTTTTATGAAAGCTTTAAAATTTACAATGTGGTTCTTAAAAGTATTACAAAAACCACCTAAGATGGTAAGACTTCTGATCATACTCATCTGAAGAACTAGTTCATTTACAAACTGCTGTTCATAACAAAAACCACAAACACTGAAGGATTTAAAACATCATGCAAATTATGTTTACCTAATTGGATAGGTTTCATCTTTTCTTCTTTTATTTTCATGTTTAGGAAGAGATTCCCATCCAAATGACAAACTCCAATCAAAATTTCCTCTGTTGTGGCTACGCCCGTAAGGAGATGGTTTAATGAATTCAAAAGTATGGAGATCTATAGAAGTAATATCAGGGCTTACAACAGCAACAGGGTTCTCAGCTATTCTTGCCAATAATGGCTCTAACCAGCCATAAAAGCATTCACCTAGGGAGAAAAGGGGAACAAGCACTGAAGTTTTACTTGCCTATAAAGTAGCACACAGGGAATATTTTAACATGCCCACAGCAAGCCAATATGCACTGCTTTTAAATAGCATCACTAATTATACTTTCAGGAATATAAAGCAGCAATAGGAAAGATGATACATCGCTAATGTTCATAATTTGCAAAAAATCTGCAACATTAAATCAAGGACAACAGCGTTATAAACCAGCCCTGGCACAGCTTCAGGTTACACTTACAATGAGCATCCAGAAAGGTAAGGGTCTCTCCTGTTGCTACTGAAGCTCCCAACAACCGTGCAGTGATTAGACCTTTTCTTTCCTTTTGACGGACTACTTTAACTATTTGAAATTGTTTCACATATTCATCTAGTTTATCATGCAAGTATTCTAGAAAGAGAAATCAGTTTCAGTATGTTCAGTGTATATACACATCACTATCTAGGATTTTACATTATTAAACTACAGGATAAACAATTCACACTAACCCCAGGAATGACCTCAGCATCAAAACAGTAAACAATTCCTGACTGTTGAACATTATTTTGAGGGGCTGAGTTTTGCTGGGGGTGGGGGCATAGAAAGAGGTGACTGGCAGAGAACAGGAGATGGAACACTAAAAATATTCTAAAAGAGAAAGGACATGTGCTAGTACATCTCTTCTGCAGTATTAACAGTTTGAATATAAATTCAAAATCCATTTTCAGAGCAAACAGATCACACACCTACTTACTCAGGTTATCTGCAGAACATGCAATTTTTTTCCTTAATGACGGCACATTTTACAGTTTTCAAGAGCATATTTACAACAGCAACAGAAGATATATTAAAAAAAAAATCTTTAAGTGTGCAAAATTTGAGAAACAACCCTCCATCCCTCATTAAACATCCCACATCATCTTCCTTCTTCTGCCCATCCTTAGCATTCAACTGTACTACTCAACATACGTCACATCCAAGTGTGCCAGTATACCGAACACAGACTTGCAAAAAGTGTCAATACGTTAATAAAAGCATGTACGTATAGACATGTTCATCTAAACCATATAAAGGTTTTTGAACTTGTGTTTGTGATCACACTGAGTATACATTCAATTATTTTTTGCAGTCAGCTTGAGTATTGAGGATTATTCTTCCATTAAATAATTTTACTTTCTGGGAAAGACGTTACCCTTCATATTAATGAAATTAATTTGCATAAAGACAATCACTATGATAAAACGCAAATTGCTATAAGCATTGGCTGATTTATCCTTGGATACTTTGTTCTAAAAATTGTAATTGGTTTGAAGTACAAATTACAGAGCTACTTGTCATGCAACCAGTTATGCAGTTTAAGCAGCCTTAGAATTCAAATAATCAGAAATGGGGTTTAAAAATCTTTCGGAGGACAAGAATTTCATATTTGACTATCTTATGAAAAAAAGATGGGGGAGAACTATTTTATATTTTACAGAAAAAGAAAAGAACAAAACCACTTAGAAAACCACCATTATACATGTTAATGGTGGTAAAAAGATATCCTCTTTTAACCAATTTATCTGCAATCCTAATATGCCTTATATTTAAAAAAAATCAAGAGAAAATAGACTTCTTACCATCTACACTGGCATCATCCACCAAAATAATCTCCTTTAACAGTATGGCAGGAGAAGTATACATCACGCTGTGAACAGTTCTGAGCAGAGTGGACCATGCTTCATTATGAAAAACTATTATAATACTTGTGGTTGGCAATGGCGGGCAACGCTTAAACTTCTGTTCAATGCATCTACAGATTAGAAAGTGTCAAATGTTACAAAATGGACAAAAAATTTTGACTCACACTCTTAAAATAAACCCTTCTGTTTCTAGTACAATGCTTTCTAAGTATGGACATTAAATATTTCAGCTTCTCCACTTTCTATCCCAGTTTTGCAGCACAAAGGCAGGTGCCCCAACTGGAGAAGCTGTAGAAAATATTTTTAAAAAGTGTGGTGAGTAAGAATTCCACTCGAACAACTGACTCAGTTCTGCTTCTGTCTCACAAACTTTTGAGTATGTTTCACCCTGGTCGTCTTCAGAAAAAAACAGGTTATTCTATTGAGTAGCAGATACTAAGCTGCAAAAATCAGACTTTCAAGTCCCCATTACTGCTGAAACCCAAAAATATAAAGAACATTTATTAGAAGACTGCAGAGTTTGCAAGGAAAAACAGATCTAATTCAGAACTTCAAAATTTTGTAGAAAAACCATATAATCCTCAGGACAGCTTATGCCAATCAAGGGAGACTATTTTAAACGCACAGTTTTTCAAGACTGACGTATTCTGAACATAACTTTAAATCCAAGCGCAAGTCAAGACAACACTTTTGCATTCACAAGCTGCACACTTAACTGTTTATTGCCTGTCAGCTTTAGAGACTGGAAGACTCCCCAAGGTAACTACCACAGCCACTGTCTCAGAAAATACACAGGCGAAAAACTCACCAGTTACGTTCTAGCAAAGGTTACTGTAAGCCGCTTCATGTGTAATACGACATTCGTACTACCATGGGCAGCTCAGCAAGGTCAGTCACTTCTGACACAGATAGCTGAGAACACATAATCTGACACTGACAGAGACTGCTCATAACCAAAACCCACTCCACCCAAGTCCTACAGTCTTAATAAAATTTTTCAGTACTACGAGATTGCTGAGATGTTCCATTGCCTTGTTCAACAGTTTACAATTCCTGATTTATTAAACTATGCTGGTGGTTTTATTAAAAAAAAAAAAATACAGAAAAAAAAAAGGAGGGGAGGGAATGTTTTTTAAAATTGGGAAAAACTTTAGATCACATTTTTAGTTTTCTTGTAAGTAAAACTTAGCAGGCTTCCAGAAAGTCACTCAGAAATTGTAGCTTAAAGCGAAAGCAGAAAGCCCTGTTTAAATATGATTACTTTGAATTCAAAACCATAAAAGAAGTGAGCCGTTCTAAACACTCTTGGCTTTGGCACTGTGGATCACTATGTACAGCCAACCATTATGTACAGTGAGGAGACTTTCCTAAACTATCACCTAACGCTGAACTGCAATCATCTTGCGGGCTGCATTTCTGACCAGTTTTTCAACTATCAGGATATACACATTTCAACATACTCAGGAGGTCGAGTGTCTGGTCCAAGATCTCGGTGTAAAGAAATCCTATCACTTGCAAATGCATTAAAGCAGTGTTTTTCTTCTCCACGCTGTTTTTCTTTCTCTTCTTCTGAATTTAAGTTGATGGTTTTAAATGCTTTGCCAGAAGCTCCAGGAGCATTAGGATCTTGAAGGGGTCGATCTAGAAAGGGTTTTAGCTCCACTGCAGTATAGTATCCTGGCAAACAGTGTCTCTCTCCAGGAATCTTGGTTTGCCGAACAGGTGCTTTTATCTGCATTTTTGGCTTTGCACCTTTGATATTGTTCATAGAATTTAACACAAGACCTAATACCTGACTCTTCTTTCCAACAGCTGGCTCAATCCCTGCTTCATCTCTAAAATCTTCAACACCCACTTCTCTTTGTAATAAAAATAAAAACACCAGAAAGACAAACACAATAACGCTAAACTTCCAAAGTTTGCAGTGAAAAAATAATTTCTTGAATAGTTTGAGTTTTTTTTTCAAAGCCATTCTAGTTTTAAAAAAATTAGCACAAAACGAAAGTTCCTGTGAACGACGTTCTTCAAATAGGTCACAGCATTTCTTGAAATTATAACACCTGTAAATTAAACCAAAAAGTATTAATTTAGACATCTAGTATATTCAACAGTGTAAAACCACAAGAAATGAATGGGCAGGAATTAATTCACAGCTCCCAACTCTCAAACATTGTGTGCCCATCACTTAATCACAAGATACGTCAAACCTATCTACAAGACACCCAAAATACACTTTCCAGTTTTTGAGTTTGATTTTTTGGTTTTTTGACTACACTTTAAGTAGAAGAATCAGAAAGCAGGCAATCCACTAAGAAGAGAACACCATTTCTACACAATGCCACTACTTCACATGAATTTTCTTCCAAATCTTGAAAATTAAGTTGCTTAAAATTAGAGGACAGTGTTGTTTTAGGTCTTCTAGAAGCAGGGAATTTTAGGTCAAGGATGGCATAGAAAGAAAACAGATGGAAACAATATAAGTTCAAGTTGCATGTAAGACAGATCTACATAAAAAGTGAACTATAAAGACAGAAAGGACTTCTCAATCAACTTATTTCAACAATTTTGAAATTTCCAATATTAAAAAACCAATCCATTTCAAGATCAGACTTAAGTAATCAGACTTCAAGTGGGAAATTTTTAGATTAATTTAGTTCAATATTCAATGCAGACTTAATACAGGTAACTTGCAGTAGATTAATTTAGTCTAAGGATCAAGTAATCATTCTGCATATTTTTATCATTCACTTGTACTGCATTTTCTGGCATGTGCTGCTGCAACTCATCAAGAGAACATGTCAAAGAGCTCTCCTCTTTCAGGAACTCTGCCACTATTTTTTTCACAGACAAGCAATTATTCAGTGGCTTTCAAAAATGGGGAACTATGAAAAACATTTGAAGACTACCAGAGTCCAAGTGATTTGAATTAAATTCTCTGCAAAATTGGCAGTTTACAAGAAGGGGAAAAACAGTAACCAGCCTCAATTCAAAGCACAGCTTTATTTTTGTGTAAGTTTGCATGTATGTGAACTGAGAAAAGAAATAAGAAGCATCTAGATAAAAGCCACAGTTAATTCCCGCTTGCTAACTACTGAACACAGAATTGCAAAAAACTACTTTTCTATTTCATCCTTTGAAATACAAATAGATTCTGCCTTTCTTATCTGGAAAAACATATACTCAGGAAGAGAGATAACTTATAGAAAACAGGAAAAATCTCACCTGGTTTCCTTCAAGAATTTTCAGGATAAGCATCAGGATTTGTTGACATTACAGTTTATTTGAAAGCTTATGTCAGCTTTTTTAATAACCCCATCATTCAAAGCACAGCAGTTTTACCGTAAACCTACTGTTATAAGAACACAGAGGGGAAGCTCATTAAATCATTGTCATATAGATACTAAAATGTGCCTCACAAGGCTCACAAAATTTCTAAGAAAACCCATTAAAAAAAAAAATCAGTCCAATACAGTCTTACACACTATTTTCCCATTTTTCTTTAGTGCTGAAATATTTGTGCTACAGTACTGATACCTATACAACGCAAGACTAAGAACAAAACCTTTCTTTCCTGGTGAAAGGATTGCGACCAATTTACCAAACTGCCAGATTAAAAAATGCCTTGTTTTCTCCCAATGTCTGGTGGGTTGATCGTGGCCAGCTGTCAAGACACCCACCCAGCCACTCTTTCACTCCCCCTCCTCAACATGACAGTGGGGAGAAAATAAGATGGAAAAGCACACAGGTCGAGATAAGGACAGTGTGATCACTTACCAATTACTGTCACAGAGAGACAGACTCAAGGAAGATGAATTTAATTTATTGCCAATTAAAACGAGAGTAGGATGGTGAGAAACAAAGACAAAACTAAAACCACACCCCCAGGCTCAATGTCACTCCTTCATTCCCTATTCCTCTATCTCATTTCTCCCAAGTGGTGTACAGGTGATGGAGAATGAGGGTTGTGGTCAGCTCATAATGCTTCATCTCTGCTGCTCCTTCCTCTTCACACCTTTCTCCTGCTCCAACATGGGTTGTCTCTGCAGGGTACAGTACTTCAGCAAAAACTGCTCCAGCATGGCTCATCCACAGGTCACAGTTCTTGCCAGGATCTTGCTTCTGTGTGGGCTCTCCATGGGCTGCAGCCTCCTTCAGGGCACATCCACTTGCTCCAGCACGGTTTCCTGCACGGGCTGCAGTGTGGATACCTGCTCCAGCGTGGTCTTCCATGGGCTGCAGAGAAATACCTTCTTCACCATGGTCTATTCCATGGGCTGCAGTGGGACAACTATTTCATAGTCCTCTCCATGGGCTGCGGGGAAACATCTGCTCTGGTTGCCAGAACACCTCCTCCCCTCCTTCTTCACAGACCTTGGTGTCTGCAGGGTTGTTTCTCTTATGTTTTTCTCACTCCTCTGTCTCACAGCTGCTGTCCAGCATTCTTTACCCTTTCTTAAATACCTCATCACAGAGGTGTGACCTGCTACCCTGGGCTCAGTGGGTCCATTTTAGAGCTGGCTAGAACCAGCTGTGTCAAGCACAGGGGCAGCCCCTGCCTCCCAACCTTGCCATGTAAACGCAATACACGATGTCAAACCCTAAGCATACATACAGATCAGCGCCCAGCAAGAAGACTAACTTGTAATACTGCCATTGGTAAATCTGCAAGGGCTCTGCCTGAGTCTACAGCCTCTGCAACCTATTAACCAGGAATGTTTTCATAATACCATAAAATAGAAAATCACATTACTGTTTCTCAGGGCACCATGCAAGAGCATATATGATATTAGTAAATCTTAAAGCTTAGGAAACAATAAGCAATATAAACATATCTTCCTCAAATAGAAAAAAAAGAAAACACAGGTTTTTTAATACTTGAAGTACTTAATATTCTAAGAGGTCTGGCAACTTCATCTCATAAGTTGTCACTAGGCATAGTCAGTCAGGCAAACACCTGGGGAGGGGGGCATCAGCATTGGTTGGCTGGTTGGTTTGTTTCCAAACATTGTTCCCCTCAAATTTCTTTTGTATCACTAAATATACAACAACGTTCTTCACTGTCCTCTAGGCCTCTTCCTCTTGGCAGAGAGACTTAAATTTGTTCATGACAAGAGAAAAGTTAAGCTTTAATGAATATGATGGTATAAAATATGTCAAGAGAAGAGAGGTTAAAGTTCACTTTATGCAGCAACGATGACTGTTTTACACTGAAATTATGCTTAAATTTCAGAACTTAAGCAGTATTTGAGTCAAATATTTATGACTGTCTCTTTTCATCTTAATGAACTGGCATGAGACTACTCAAAGGGTAGAAAAATTACATCATATGCCTACATATCTGTTATCTGCCTTAGTACCAGAGAAACCTTTTAACTAATTTAAGAAGTACTTTAGAGAGTTAAAGTTGCAGTTGTCAGATTTCCATTGTACATATTCAGCATCTCAATTAATGCAGCAATATTTACTTATGCTATGCTCACTAAATCACAAATTTTTTTTATAGTTTTATGTTTACTATGTGAACTTTGGCTTCATTGTACTGAGTAACAAAAACGAAAAATGGACTAGAAAATACCAAAGATTTCTTCCATAGATTTTTAGCACATACATCAGACTTTTGCTGCTGTGGCTTTGATGCTGACACGCTAACCTATTCTTCAGAAAACATCAAACATACATATGTACCTTTTACCAAAAGCTTAAACTAAATTACTGTTATTTTTATTTGGGATTATTTTCTGCAAAAACTGAGCATATACAAGCCCTTAGAATACTCATGATCAACACAATAGTCAAGATATCTGTAAATCAAAATACCCAAAACCTAAAATCCATCCAGAATATTTCTTGTACTACCTGTGTTTTGCATACATCTGTCTTCAGACAAATAAGTCATTAAAGACTATAATGAACAGACCTAATAAGCAACCAAGAACACAGGGCAATTTATTAATCATTTGTTTCCCCATGTAACTATATTCACTTTTATCTGCATACACTTTGACAACACATTTCCTTGTATTGGACACATCTGTCTGGGCTGCCCAGGTCTAACTACAGCAGGCTGCCATAACACACAGATGAAACATGTCTGTCCCTAGAAATGAAAAGACATTTCAGCAGGTTGTGCAACAGAGCAACATGACTTAACTCTTTCAATGCTGATTAGCATGCTCCAGTAGCATACAGGGCAGCATGCTCTGCACAGGGACAAGTGCCAATGATGTTCCTTTTTTAAAGAAAGGACCAAGGGATAGCCTTGGGGTAGGATGTTCAGCAGAGGTGCAGTGGACAAACACGGGCTCGTTTGCCACAAACGTACAGCAAACACTCTGATATAGACAAATGCTGACTCTAGTTTTATTAACAAAATACCTGACAGGGATATTGCTTGCAATGAGAGAAGAGCTCTTTGTTGCATAAAACAGTAGCAGTTTCCAGAACACAGACTACATTGTCCAAAGAACTACTGCCATGAAAGCTGTATCTTCCTTAGGGCTTTTACCAGGAAATTCTGTAGTCAGAAATACAATCTTTATGCCCCACAAATGCCTCACACATTTTTATGGCATAGCAATGTCTGTAAAGCACAGACCAAGCTACTGTTCCATCCTCCAGGACATACTCAAGAAATATGTAGCATGATTAAACTCCCTGAGGTGTCTGTTTGGCAAAGTGTTTAATCTTCTATTCATTAGTGTTATTTCCACTAATAGTAGTCTGGATTCTTACAGCACTTTGAAATAATTAGCCCTAAACATCAGAAGCTGGATTTTAGGGTTTGGGGGGGGGGTTGTTTTGTTTTTTGTTTTTTTGGGTTTTTTTTAAGATGAAAATAACCAGAAAACTAATATGTACTACAAAAGTCTTCTAAAAGTGCCAAAAAGCAGCTGCCACTCTACTTCAAACCACATCACATGGGTAGTGTGTGAATTCAATACACAGTCTATGTTACATTATGCCACCCACTAACTCTGATGTCAGACTGTCTGCAAAAACTCTGTCCTACAAGAAAGCCTCACTACAGTAGCAACATGTAGACAACTCTGACTTTTTG